CGTGTTGTTAGAGAGATCTTATACAAACGGAGTAAGGAGTAGGAAAAAAATTAATCAAATAAAATACACTATGTGCAAGAGAAAGAAAAAGTAAGAATCACAGCAACAGATTTAACACAACAGGATAAACAAAAAAGACATAAATATGTATATTAAATGGAGGCAGCAGCAGTTACAGTGAAAATATTGCGCGACATTGTTATGTGTCCCTACTGAGCAGTGCTGGTTGTGTATATAGGCTGACAGCAGCAGGGAAGGAATGGACCTACGAAATGTCTCCTTCACACATGTTGGGTGAAGGAGTCTGTGACGAAGAGCTGCTCGAGTGCAGGTGGATGGGGTGGGAAGACATTGTCATCAGTTGATGAGTAGCTGTTGCTAATCATCTCCTCTCTCACATGCACTGAGTCGGGAGGGGGCAACCAGACAGAGGCTGGCCTTCTTAACAGTTGTCGGATTCTTTCTGGTCGGCTTGCCGAATGCTGGGCTGCTCAGCAGACACTCCAAAGAAAATGGCTGAGTGCCACAACAGGGAGTCAAGAATGACCTCAGGGAGCTCTCCCCTGCACTCCAAAGACCTGGAGTTTGCCAGAGGCAGAGTAGGAGTGTCTGCCTCTTATAAAGGAGCGATAATGTTCGTAGTCCAGGTCCATTTATTGGTTCGTGAACACCCAGTACTAAGATCCACTCGCCTCTATGTGCCCGATACCCAGATGTGTCACTGCGTGCCGGGGGCGCGGTGACTGCGCCTGCGGTGCAACCCGTCGCACCACCAGTCGGTCCTTTGTTTCGTCCCTGTGGTTGATCCCGGTCGCCAGGCTTTCCAGCGTGACCCCAGGTCGCGCACAAGAGTCCCGTTGTTACTCAGGTTCTTCCGATCCCCTGTCTTCGCTCAGTTCAGTATGAGGGCCGATGATGCAGAGTCATCACGAGAACTCTGGCAGGTGACAGAGGCTGTGCTGAAGTCTGCAGTGGTACAGGCGGTGAAGAAAGAGCCAAACTGTTCCTGTGAGCCCTGTCTGCAGGGACCACCATCCGAGACACGGGTCCTTGTCCTCACATACTGTCGGGTGGCGTGTCGGAGGTGGTCAGAATCCGGATGTGAGGTGATAATCCACACCTGAGAGGCTCCAGCTTGGTCCTCAGAAGCAGAGGCTGGATGGTGTTGAAAGCACTGGAGAGTCGAAGAACGTGATCCTCACTAGTGCTTCCAGGACTTTTCAGATGAGAAAGGCTCTGTGAAGGAGGAAGATGACAGCCGTCATCCACCCCGACGCCAGGCTGATAGCGCAACTGAAGGCGGGGTCCATGGATGTCCCACCAGAGGGCGGAGATGGGCGAGGACCAGCGCTTCAGTGTCTTCATCAGTGTGATGTCAGCGCCACGGCCTGTAGCTGTTGAGGTCTTTGGAGTGCGGCGTTTTTGGCACCGGCACCACGCAGGATGTTTTCCACAGTTGTGGAACTCTCTAATATCTAGGAGATGGGAGGAAATTCTGAGTTGCTTTCTGTCTTCAAGTTTATCTCTGGCTCCTGACAATTGTCCCCTTCCCCTTCTTATAGCTGTATGACTGAGTTATAGAATTTTTTACTGATTAAGTCAGATATTAGTTAGTATTTAGAATTAATTATATAGAAATGATATAGTAGTAATTTAAACCTCCCAAGTAAATACTGGTTTAAGCCATGTCACAGCTAGGAAAATGGTTTGACTGCAGAGCTCTAATCTCTTCACTTCTCTGTAAGTGTTTTAAGTGTTTTGTGCAAACAAAGAAGAACTAAGTGGTTATAATCAGCAGCGATAATGGCTGAAGAGACAAGGAAAAGAACTCCACCTACAGAGAAAATAAATACTGAACAGGTTTATGCTCTTTAATCTGATCCCTGCCTGGAGCTCACAGTTAAAGTGTGATTTTATTTACCTGAACACACAAGACTCTTTATGCAGAGCTGGGACCCCAATTGGTCATTGTTTCGCAAGTCACAAGTAAGTCTTAGACAAGTCATAATGCTCTATTCACCAAATATAATGGCATTTTAACAACAGAGTGATAATATATTAAGTTTACACAAATCATGAATGCTTTTTGAAATGAGTATTTATTTGTTAAAAAAGGTGCAACTGGACTCATCATAAAAAGTAGTGCTGATGTTGCACTTTCATAGCCTCCAGTATATAACACTATTAACAAGTACCACAGTACCAGTACTTTATGGAGGAATACATATTAATTGATCAGTGGCACACTTAATAATAACACACTTATTAATCTTTTGGGGAAGAAATTAAGTATTTTCAAGTCAAAAGGTCAAGTCCAAGTGAAGTCCAAGTCGAGTTGCAAGTCTTTTTGATTTTGGTCAGAGTCGAGTGTAAAGTCACAACTTTTTTTGACTTTAGTCTGATTCAAGTCCAAGTCATGTGACTCAAGTCGACACCTCTGCCTTTAGGATTAATGAATGTTTCATTTCTTCTTGTCATTTATATGGAAGCTCATTTCCGCCACTAAAATAAATAATAAGATGAAAACTTAGCCTTGATAAGTCAAAACTATGAAATAAAAAGTTATTTATAATAATCTCTTAATTTCAACCTCCTTTTATATCTCACAATTGGAACTTTTTAGTTTTGACTTAACATGAACATGTTTTCATCTTATTTTATAATTCTGCTAATTATTTTATCACATAATTTCGACTTTCTATCTCATAATAATGACTTTCTATCTCATAATAATGACTTAACATATTATAACCAAGGCTACATTTTCATCTTATCTTTTTATTTTACTGGCAGAAATGGGCTTCCATAATTTTATCCAGCGTCTCACCTTGTCCTATGAAATGCTGACCTCCTCTGACAGACAGTATGTTTGGAGGCGTTGCTAGGCAACAGTGTACCTGCAGAGGAAAGTGTAGCTTACTAGTAAGCTGAGACGCAGAGGACAGCTGTTGGACTGCGAGATGACTCATCTGTGCCTTTGAGCAGCTTCAATAAAACAACGATAGAAAAGCAAGAAATCAACATCCTGACAGACACAAACCTCAAAAGGTAGGTGGTTTCATCCTGCTCATTTTTATACATAACGAGAAAAACATTCAGAGAGCGAGTACCTCCAGCAAGACCACACAAGCCTATTCATTTGGTATGATAATGACAAAAACATGTTGAGAATGTATTTATTTGGATATATGGCCATTTGAATGTATCATGTTGCTGCAGCGCCACTTAGAGGTGAAATGGCATCACATGCTGATGGTTGATATCATTCAGCTGCATCTGCACAGTGTGTTTAATGTGAAACAGGTCACACCTAGATTAATTTGAAGAGCTGTCATCTATTTCTAAATGGTTTCAGATGAACAAACATAAAAATACATTTTATGATATTTTGTTTTAACTTTTTATTATAACTTAATTTATTCTCATATTATGTATTTTAATACTGAAAAAAAAATCACCATCCAAACGTGGTGGCACAATATCCTACACTTCACTCACTTTAACTCAAAGTTCAGAAAAAAACAAAGTCAGTCTGTGTGCCAAATCGCCATTATTACCGAAAGAAAATGAGCTCCCCGAATGGTAAAGTTCATATACTGTGTTTAGTGGTGAATAGTGGTAAAACAAAAATGTTTTGCATCTTTAGCTCACAGTTCTGAATTTATGAAAAATAATAATAATAAATATAAAAAGTCATGTGATGCTCATGTTAATGCCACCATGGTCAGGATTGCTATCCTTACCAAGAACAAATCACTTTGTTATGTGCTCCGCAAATCTGACCTGAAATATAATTATATAATTATTTAATTGTTTAGATGACTAAAGACAAACCAACAGAGTGGACCAAAAAATAAAACCTCCCCCGTAGAGTAAGTGGCTTACTTGTATGACTCAGATTTCTGAACAACTTCAGATGGTAAAAACTGTCTGTGTGTGTGTGTGTGTGTGTGTGTGTGCGTGTGTGTGTTGTGTGAACAGAGAGAGAGAAGAGAGAATAGCAGATGTGAAGATGGCATTAGCCAGCGGTCACTGGCTGGAGAAAGAGATGAGGGAGAAGCCCCAAGTCCCAGGTGGGTCACAGTGTTGTTGTACCAATAAACTGTGTGTGACTCATTCAAAGCTTAAAGTGGAGTGACGTAGAGATGAAACTGGAAGAGGTGTTTTGTGGGTGGGTTTGCTCATTGTTAGATAGAAAAGACCCTTTTTTATTCGTATTCTCCTTCACAGACACGGCCAGCCTTAACTCTGGCAGGAAATGTTGCCTTTTCTGTTTTGGAGGAGCCTGCAGCATCACCCAAGAAGTGACTGTTTTATTCTCAATTCAAAACTTTTTTACTTCAGCCAGATGTGACAAACAGCAGCCTACTTCACATTCACACAATTGAAAACACACCGTAAACATGGGTGAAATTGTGGATTCTGGTGGTAATGGTCTGCTAATTTTCTTCTCCTTTATTAGAACAACCCTGTTTACTTCATGACTTCTACATGCTAACAGGTAAAATCAGAGACAAAGGTAGTCATAATGAGTGCCAAAAATGGCAGTTTATCAATCCACCACTTGAGTAGTCAATCTCCATAAGGCCCCATATTAAAATGCCAAACATCTTTACAGCCTGGTACAAAAAACAGTTTGGGATCTTTATAACTAATTTACCCGTTCATGACAACTGCACAGGGTACAGCACATTCTTGTATTACAGATAAACAGTACACTAAAATATGCTTCTGAAACTGTTTAAAAGCGAAAAATAGTCAACACAGTAACAGAATCTTGATTCATATTTGATCAGCACTGCCTAGTTTGACAGTTTGATCTGAGTTTGGTGCATTGCATACCATTACCTAAAACAGACAGTGCTTTATCATCTATTTTACTTGTTCATTTACCAAATGAGAATCATGCTGTATGAAGACTTGAAACTAGAGATTAAAGACCATAAACTCATTAGGTGGAACTGTTTTACTGAGCTCATAAATCAAGTCAGAAGTCGACTCATTTCTCCATAAGAGGCTTCTTTTTTCCAGCCCATGGAGCTGCCCCATGCTGGCCATTAGAAAGAAAGAATGCAGGTTAAAGACACTTCACAGAATCCAGAGGCTTTGTCCACTAATAATATACTGTCAATAAAAATAACCAAAGATTTTCTTGTTATTTGTAGTTTCTCCTGATGATGTGACATGGGAGGAGATTCCTCAGAGCGGAGAAGTTCCGTCAGCCAGAGAAGGACACACTCTTTGGTAAACAACAGCACTGACTGAGTAATTTGGCATGAATGATTAGGAAATTACAGAAAACGTATACATTTTTTCCATTGTATCAAACTTAACTACTAAAGGTTAAAAGGTTAATCAATGGAATTCTGCATTATGTGGAGGGCAGCAGTATGCATTTGCTGCATCCAGACGGAACGTAACACAGTTATCTTGTGTTAGCTCACATGCTAAATTGATAGCATACAGTTAGATTCTGACAGTTCCTGTGCTAATTGAGAAGCATAATAATAATTATAGCTAATAATTATAATAGGATTAAAAAAAAAATGAAATACTATACTTAGACTACTAAAAAAAGCAAGATAAAAATGAATGAGTCTTAAGATTCTTCGAAGAATTAAAAAAAGTTTCTAGTTAGCTATTCATGGGCAGGGCTATTTCACACTTTTTACCTATATAAGTAGCATAGAGTTAGCTTGTCTTGTTCCTATTTTGGCAGTGGCTGCATGGCTTCATGAAGCATCAATGTTGCTTTTGTTGGTCTAGACAACCAAAACAGTGAGCCAAAAGCTTTGTGCAGGTGTTGATTCTCCGTGGGATCAGTAGTACTATCAGTGACAATATGTGCACTTTGTCTTGTGTCATTTTAAGTGTTGTGAAAGGGAAGCTGTTTCTGTTTGGAGGAGCGTCCAGCCCCGACGCCACTGAGTGTCTCCCAGGAGTCTACAGCTTTGACATAGGTGAGGATTTTACAGCAGGTGGAGGTGAACACATCTAGCTTGCTTTTTTATTTTAGTGTTACATGAAAGCTTGTACAAGGAACTTTCATTTTGTATTGATTCTGGCAACCCCTGTGGACAAAAGCGTGGTGTTTCTATTGCCTTGTTTTATTGACTTGTAGGGGAATCCAACTGAATCAAACCTGGTGGCAGCCATATAGACATAGCACATATAGAGGGATCAGTTTCAAACTGAGAGTGTTGCATACATTGTACATTTGTTGTACATTTAAGGACGAGTAAAATCAAGTGTGCAGAAGTAGTGTGACAGTACTTCCATTTTTTACAGTGTCTTTGACCTGGGATTGCTTAGAAGTTGGTGGCATGGCCCTCAGAACCCTCAGACACAGCTCTGTTGCCATGGGAGACAACATCTATGCGTACGGAGGCACTGTGGGTGGGAATCCAACCAACGATCTCATGGTTTTCAACACAGGTCCATACATCATCATCGTCTGGATTACCCTACTAAGCTATGAAAATTAACTTGTTAAGACTGATATGTTTGTGTATGCCGTTTATGTATTTTCCTCTGTTCTGTTTCAGTGTCTCTCACCTGGACGCCAGTTAAAACTAGTGGATCGCTGCCTCCTGCCCTGTAAGACATTGCTAGTGCTTTGGAATAATACCTGGCATTTGTTGCACCTTAGTAACACTGAAAATAATTTTAGGATTTGTATGTTCACTGTATGAATGTTTGTGTGTAGGTGTGGTCAGAGTTTTGCTCTGGTTGGAGATCAGCTGTTCATGTTTGGAGGTTATGAAGGAGGTGGAACCTTCTGTAAAGACCTCTATGTTCTCAACACAGGTAAACGCGGATTCAGATCTCTGAAATAATTATCTCGTGCTTGCGCACAATGTAACACTACAACTGAACTTGTACGTCTAGTCATCACAATCTGGCCCTTGTCTAAATAGTTCAAATCCTCAGGCTGCCCATTTTTCCTGCTTCTAACACATCAACTTTTTTGAGGACAAAAGTGAGTTCACTTGCTGCCTGATATATCCCACCCACTGACAGGAGCCATGATAACCAAATCAGTGTTATTCATTCACCTGTCAGTGCTCAGTGTTATTTCTGATCGCTGTAAATATATATAATTTAATAAAGTATGATAACAATTATTTTAGTTGAATATAGTCACTGGATTTCCATAGATAAGTGTAGTTTTACACAACCTAATGCTACTGTGATGTAACTTGTGATCTATGCCGATTACTCATTAGTCTCTGACCTATGACCTTTCTGTTTCTCTACAACTTAGACAACTTGGTGTGGCAGAAATGGGAGGTGAAGGGAGAATCACCTGCAGCCTGCAGCGGGCAAACACTGACTGCACACCATGATAAAGTATACACACACACACACACACCATGTTTTTTATCACATGTATGGATTATTTTGATTAGAATTGGCACACTTTAGCCTCCATAGGTTTTTGTGTCACTTTATTTTAAGGTCAAGCTCAATATTTCTTGCTGTTGTCATTATGTTGAATTATTTTCCCCTATGTTAAATCCTGTGGAGGATATCTACCTGTTTGCTGGCAAAAGCACAAATGAGGACGGCACAGTGACGTCTTCCAATGAAATCCATAAACTCAGTATTGGTGAGTGAGACGCTGCACATTACCTGACAAATAAAATTGTGAATTATTCGAAAGAGAGTCAAAGGTTTAAGTTGTATTGCTCAAATATTTCACACCGTGTCTCTCCAGCTAAGGTGAAATGGAAGGTTCCTCTGTACGTCGGGATTCCTCCAGCCCGTCGTCACGGACACACTGCTTTCATTCTCCACAGCCACGTAAGGTTATATAATTTATGTTAATTACTGTCATGTGATATGATATTAAACATACTTTTTCTTGTGTGTTTGTTTGGTTGACAGCTGTTTGTATTTGGAGGGAAGAACGAAGAGCAGGAGTTTAATGACCTGAAGGTGATGAAACTCATTAACCCCTCAGAGAGACAACCAGGTAATCTATTCATATTTATCTTGTTTTAAAATAACATTAACACCAGGGCCTAGAGGAGCCAATTTGAAAGTGCTGGACAGAACAAACTGATGATTTATCTACTCTCAGAGCCTTACCAACAGTGAGTGGAGCTGAAATGTATAGTTTGTCCAGAGGATGGCGCTCAAAGAAAGGTAATTTGGAAATGAAATGAAAGGGTTCCTCCTCTGGGGAGAAGGAACGTACCATGAAGTGGCATGATACTCTGGCTTATGGATTTTGAATACAAGAAAAGCACAAATGGGGGCAATGGTGCACACTTTCAGTCAGTCTCACCTCGAAGCCATTCATGGTGTTGCTATCATTAAAAGTGACGAAGAAGACATTGAGGCTGAACATTTTCTCTACAGTAATGAAGGAGATTCTGTCAGAGTTTGGTCTGCAGGGAGTCAGCCACAGGTCAGCAGCTGCTGTACACACACACACACACCTGTGTTTCTGTTTCACCTCCGTGTGTGTGTCTGCAGTTTCAGCCTCATGTCACGCTCCGTTTGAGTCTCATCTCTCAGTACTGACACTCTGGTTTCATTCTGGTTTGGACCGTTGACAGCTTCACTCCCACAAAGGTTCCCAACGTCCGCTACGAGCTGAGCGAGACTGCCCCCTCCAACCAGTCCAGGAACACAGCAGCTAATGCACAGGTGATGATCACACACACACACACACACAAACACATGGTGGAGAAGTTGGGTGGTTAACGAGAAAGACAAAACTGAGTGCCAAAAAGGCTGTGCAGGAGGAGTAGAAGGTGGTGCATTGAAAGAGCAAGAAGTAGCAGAAGTAGAAGTAAAGGTACTTTCAGACCGTTGGTTACTACCACTGCATCGTCTCCATGGTAACTGGCTACACCTCATCCTACTTTAACAACCTGTACCATACACTAGAAAGCTCTGCTATTTAGCCAGTCTAATCTAATCACAAAACCAAATAGAGGTTGTAAGTTAGATGGCAGGGAATGGTTAGCAATCTGACACATTTAACAGAGCAAATTAAGCTAACTCATGCCATAAATCGTGTTTATTTTAGTTGCTCTGCAAATGCTCCAGACTGGTTTCAGCCACCCTCTCTCTGCTTGCCGGGGTAGTAACAGTAGTTTTATCAGTAGAAGCAGTAGTGGTAATAGTTGTGACAGTAACAGCCGTGCTAGCAGCAGCAGTGCCAAATGTGGCAATAGAAGAAGTAGAGGAAGGTGTAGCAATAGCAACAGTAGTAGCAGTGATTGGAGCAACAGCAGCAGTAGAAGCAGTAGCAGTAGTAGCAGTAGCAGTAGTAGCAGTAGTAGTAGCAGTAGTAGTCCTGGTCGCTGATACTTGCTTGGAGCATGCTGCCTGCTCACACTGATAATAACTCTGGTATTTAACCTCCTGCAGGTGTTTGTCCACAGAGACTTCAGCGCAGTTCGAGATCAGGCCATGAAAATGATCCAGACAGCATTCACTCTGCTGGACCAGGAGTTCCAGAAACTGGATCGGTACGTGTTGGGGTCACTTTGAAAAGACGAACGGTGACTGTTGAATAACCGTCTGCCTATCCATCTAACAAGCAAACTTCTACTGATTATCTCACAGCTACATTTCTTTGTTCCAGAGAGAAGTCCGAGCTGTCAAAAGCTGCTGCTGCTCTGCAAAGAGACAGAGAAGCTCATGAAGGCCACAGACAGCAACAGCAACAGGTTCCTCTCATCCCAACTAAATCCAGTCTAATATATCTAATTTCATTCATTCTAACTATCTAATTTAATTTAATAGAACTGATTCCACTTCAAGCTGTAAAACAATGAATCTCATCTGATTTGATCTAATCTAATCTATCCTAATATAATCATGTGTTAAACAATCTATTTTAATATACCAAATGTAATTAATTTGATGTAGTTTAATTTATTCCAACTCTAAATCTAATCTAATCTATTCCATCAAATACTTGCTTTTTGTCTTTTTTTGCACCAAAATTCCTTGTATGTGAAGACCTACTTGGCAAAACATCTGATTAGAATCTAAAAACATTTTATGATGTTAACATGCTAATGCTACCAAATTAGCACAGCTGAATGCTTTTGGGCACATTAGCACATCTGGACATCTGTTTGTGTTGCTTTGTAGTATTGAGTAACACATTTGATGCGTGTGTGTCAGGAGCTGCAGGAGATGCTGGACAGACATCGCTCTCAAAACGAGGCGTGGCTCCGAGCGAGAGCCGAGGAGAACGACCGAGAGAGGAGGGAGCTCTGCAGACTCCGAGTCAGTAAACACACACACACTTCACTCAAGCTTTTTTCCATTTCTTGCTGTACTTTATGTCTGGTTTCTCCACTGCTTCACACACTGTGGTCCTCAGAATGCAGATGTCTGTCTGTCTGTCTGTCTGTCTGTGTGATGGGTCCTCAGGAGGAAGTGTTGCAGGAGCAGGAGCGATTGAAGGAGGAGCACAGCAGCATCCAGAAACGCAGCGAACATCTTCTGTCCATCATGCAGCAGTTCAAAGGAATGTGATATGAGATAGATAGATAGATAGATATAATAGATAGATAGGATAGATAAATAGATAGATAGATAGATAGATACGAAGATAGATAGATAGGGTTGAGTGACTGATTTTTTCATGTTTTGTTACCTTTGGGCCCCTCATGTTAAAGCTTCCTACAAGGAACTTTCATTTTGTGTTGACTCTGGCGGTCCCTGTGGACAAAAGTGGTAGTGTTTCTACTCTAAGGGAATCCAACCGGGCAGGTAGAATAACTATATCATAATTGTTTTCTACTGATGGTCTGATCTGTAGTTCATACAGAGGCATTAAAATGAGACTGTTTCACAACCAGTTAAAAGCTCCTTGTAGTATGTTTAAGATCAGGACGGGGATCTTTAAGCGGTGGGTCAGATACAAATATGTGTCACTTATATGTTTTATCTGAAAGTGTCCTGGGTGGGAAGATTACCTGAAAGCAAAAAGGCAAAATGAATACTCTTTATGTATTGAACTTTCCTACAATAAAAATATTTTGCCATAAACTGTACTAAAGGTTTGTATCCTGGATTGTTTAATGTATGACAGTTCAACAGAAAATCATCATTTGATTGATTAATTGATTGATTAGTGAACCTCATAATAGATTGAACTAAGAAAAAATAGGAAAATCTAATTTAAGGACGCAATAATCACAGAAAATATCCACTGAGATTTTTTTCAGTGTATTGTGGCAAACAGGATAGATGACTGTTTCCATGGTTACCACTGATGTAGTACTGAGGATGGCATAGTTTCTGGCACTTTTTACAGTAAATATTTGTAACAAAGTAACTGAATAAAAGATTACTGAATGTTTTTTGACTTGAAAAAGATGTTTTTGAGCTTCCATACTGGTAGTTCTGTTCAGCAGTGTAACATGGGTTATGTAGTCTTAATGTTTAGTATGTGATGGTAAATCTGATTCTCGTTGAATTGTTTTCATTGTGTTATCTGTTTATAAAAGCAGATTGTAGCTGAGACAACAACAGGACGTTGACAAGTTTGACGTGTTTTTTTGTCCTCGGTGTCTTTAAGCAAACCGGTGGACCGTGAAGAGCTCCACAGCTGCTGCAGGCTGTGCTGCCTCTTTAATTCGCAGCAGCAGTACTGGAAGCAGAATAACATTTCTACATTTCTACTGAACTGTAGCTGCAGATAAAACATTAAGCCAACATCAGTCGTGTGGGACTGTTTTATGGCTCTGACGCTGTCCGTCATGATGTCTCCAGCTTGTGGAACAAAAGCAAAAAGCAAGCTACAGTGGAGCCAGCGGTAGAGCAGTGCGTTTCAGGTCACTCATGTTCTGTGTTGTACAGAAGCATTTTAAGTTTAAAGCTGCAGAGCATGATCACCCCCACCCTCCCATCAGCTCTATGGGGCATTTCAGTCCCTTTGTTTTGGTTTTCTGGCCTGAAAAAAGTCAATGGTTTAAAAGCCACTCCAGCTTTGATGACACTTTCTGCTTGTTGGGTGTGTTGTCCCTCGTATTCAGAGCAGTTTGAAGCCATGTGGATTACACACATTTACCTCATTATTTAAAACTTTGGCCAGATATAAAAAAATTGAGAGTGACAAGACTTGAACCCTGGGCGGCTGCAGCAAGGACTCCTATTTAATGATGTAAATATGAACATCCAACATAGTAAAATTAGATATATGACACAAAATCAGGCAAATTAGGATATTTTCCCTTATCGTGCAAGTTTAAGAGCATTAATGTACATGATTATTGTTTTTCCCTGTCGCTATTCCACACCAACATTTTTTCAAATAGAGACTGTTACTGTCAGTGTTACTTTACTCCACAAGTCTGTTAAAGGACCAGTGTGTAGGAGTAAGTGGCATCTAGTGGTGTAGTCACAGATTGCAGCCCCCTCGTCTCACCCAAGCTGTACCAAGCCTGTAGGGGAAGTTATGGTGAATGTGAAACTCATCTAGCCAGTGTTAGCTTTGCCCCATGACTCCATGGAAGGCGACCCGCAGCGTCTGTAGATAAAAAGGTCTCATTCTAAGGTAACAACAACACAACAATTCTTATTTTCAGGTGATTATATTTGATAATCTACCCATATTTTGGCTGTTAGTACATGATCTCACCTCCACTGATTAAGAATAGTACTTGAAATAATAATAAAACAGCAGATGTTTGTGCTACAGCAGAGCATAGCTTTCACTAACAACAAAAATACCAACCTTTCACACCACAAGATACTAAATAATACGTTTTAGATAATTATTAATTATGAGATACGGAAGTTATAATTCCAAGATATGGTCTCCATTTTATTTGAAGTGTGTGTGCCTACTCTTCCTCTCAAAAGTGAGTGCTGGTCTCAGTTGGACTACCACTGTGAAAATTGTTGGATTCCACTGTTATGTTGCCCTGCCTAATGTGTGTGACATTTCCCAGAATTACACTTGTTTGTCCTTTTTATGTTTTTACAAGTTTCTAAAAAAAACACACACAACTGCATGACTTCATGTTATTCAGAGTGAACACAAATATAGACAGAAATGGGTGATTTTGATTAATCCAACAGAATGTAAATGCAGCATCACAGCTCTGACAGGAGGAAATTGTTGCTTTAATAATTGCTAAGACAGAACTGTATCACAGCTCATTGTATTTAGTGATCAGCTGTTACATCTGTCTGTCTGGTGCCGCTGTCTCTCGCCCTCTCTCTCTGTCTGTCTCCTCCACTGTCGCATTCAACAGCAGGACGGCTCACTATTACGCAAGGAAAAACAGCGTAATGCGCCAGTCGGTGTCCTTGTATTTCCTCTCGGTTGCACTATTTGGCAGAACAAGAGAGGGGCGGGGAGAGAGGGTGAGAAGTGTCAAGGTCGCAGCAATACGGCCGGAAGTGAGGCGATATGGACAAATAAGAGCTTTGTGTTGGACTTCGGGTTATAATGGAGTTTTCTCACATCTTCCATGTTTATTCTCAGGGTTTGAATGTGTTTTATGGCCCTTATTTGCTCAGTGTTTATTTATATTCACTGCAGATTTTACTTTTTTTCCAGTCAAAAAAGTTGGTATAAAATAACATTTCACATAAGCTCATGAATAAAAACCAGTAACTTAATTATATTAATTAATTAAACATACAAAATTAAAGTGTGTATGAAAATAAACAATGGTGATTTTAAAAACTGAAAACAGATAAGAAAGGGAGCAAAATTGAAACTTTGGTAACTATGTCATTTTAATCCATTAAGCAGAAAAGAACTGGCTGCAACTGTGAGCTATCTATTTACATTCGTGAATGCAGAATTTCCACAATAAAATCATACAATTAACCAACAATACAAGCTAACGTTAGCCTTTCTCCCATCCATACAAAACTTCACTTATTAAGGTTTAACTGCTGCTAAAGCCATAACATCTTACTGTACATTTACACCTGTTTAGTACTCAGGATATAACTAACATGTAAATGAGACAATTTTGGAGTTGTTGTAAAGTGCATTTTTTTACCAATGAATGGAGCTTAGGCACAGTTTCTCTTGCCTCCAGTCTTTGTGGTAAGCTAACGTTAATGTTAGGCTAAACACTCCTGGACCTCTGAACTGGACGCACAGATAAAACTAGGGGTAAAACTGGGGCAAACATTAATGGACTATTGAAAAGGTTAATATTCCACATTAGTGGACAACAACCCCAGCAACATGTTTTTATTTTATTTGACATATTTTGTCAAATATAGCCTACATTCATCTGGTCCAATCACAGTCAGTAGCGCATTTATTGTGAAAGGTTTAACCGGACATCCCTCCTTCCATCGTGTGTAGCTTCACGTTTCGAGGTGAGATGGCCGTGGAGTCTCTGCTGGTTCCTGTGAAGTCGAAACGGACTCTGTGGACAGACAGCAGGAGGCGAGAAACCCCGCCGCAGTCCCCTCCGACCTCCAGTTTTTAAAAATAACCACGGTAAGACAGAAACCAACATGCACCTGTCTCTTAGCTCGCTAGTCAGCCCGCAGGTAAACAGCCAAAAAACAACACACACTGAGCGCTCGTTTTGTCGGTGGCGTTCTCCCGCCGACGGTTGGTCTGGCGGGGGAGGGGCGGGGGAAGCAGCAGCAGCAGCAGCAGCAGACAGCCAGAGACCGAGCCCAGTCTGCTGCTGTCTTTCTGTCTGGGATATTTCTGCCTTTACCGCGGAAATGCCGTCGGACAGTCCCACCATTGTCCGCCTGTCTGAAGCCCCCATACGCCCCCTTTTCACCTGATATCTGGCTGTAAATAATAGTAAAACAAGGCGAGCAACATGGCTGACGCTGGCCCTGCAGAACCTGCTTGTTCGTTTGCCAGTGCAGATGATGACTGTGTATATATATATATTTTAAACCCAGCCTGTTGGCTACCTGTTATTAGCCTGCACCCTCATTCACACTGACAGCAGAAATGAAAATGAAAGACGCGCAAGAAACGCGGCTAAAACATCTGTCCAAGTCGGAGACCGAGAGCAGTAAAGAGCTCCAGGGTGAGTTTCACAGCCTTTCACAGACTGCTGCATTTTCTCATTCTAATGCAGTCAGTGAAGTCAAAGCTGTGTGTTTGTTTCTTGCTGAAGTGGTTGAAAGCCGATTTGAATGCTCCAGTGTGCTGATAGCAACGCCCCCTTTTGCCAACTTGTAACCAAATCAAAGCAAAGGTCAACCGGGGTCTGATCCTGCAGGTAGAACCAGAACCCAGCTGCTGGTGCTCAGCTCCCACTGAACACAGGAGGAAGACAGGAGGAAGGCAGGATCACAGCGGTGTTTACCCAGAACTGTATCATTTCAACACATCTGCAGCACATCTGTCTTCCCACCATCGTGAGGAGGACAGTCCTTATTTTCCTAAGGCACACTTCGGATGTCACAATAAGTCATGCTAACCCACGAACACTCAGTGGCATCTTTCCATGCAGATAGCTTTGTTTTTGGTGAACACGGCGGTGAAAGATGAAAGCCATTTGGAATAAGTTAACACTGAAGTCTTTTGTATTTAAAGCTGCAGTAGGTCACTTTTAGAAAAATAACCTTTTGTCATGTTTGCTAAAACTTTCACTATATCATGACAGTAGTACATGAGACAGATAATCTGTGAAACAATGAATATATTTGACCATTTATCGATTCGGCTCTATTAAAAAATAAATGAAAATAGAATATTTTAGTTTCTAAATGCCATATTTTTTGCTTCCATTTCGCAAGCTAAAACTTGCTTCAGATTTGACCTCAAACGATTAATACCTCTGCTATTCAGCTGAGCATTAGCTTACAGTGAAGCGATGTAGTGGTGAAGTTGCAGATTGCAGCTAACTGAATACAGCTCGCATCTGTATTTGACAACCTGGGAATGAGAATGGGTTTTGAAGTGTGTAGGATAAATCGCGGCTGCTAAACTCGCATAAAAGACCCTCTCTACAGCCAGTGTTTGATGTCCATTCTGGGCTACTGTAGAAACATGGGGGTTCAACATGGCGGACTTTCTGATGTAATGAGACCACAATGATTCTTATTTTCAGGTAATTATACACTAATTAAAACATACCTATGAATATTATATTCCATTTCTGATGATAGATTCTCCTCAATGTTACACACTGGACATTTTAAAATCTTGAAAATGCTTTTTACAGAAGTCTACAAAGGTTAAAAAAAGTTTCTCCCTGACTGTAACTCACAGTATAAACACACACGTTCAGAAAACTAGCTTTATTGTTCTGGTTGAATCACGGAGCTGAAGCCTGAATGTTTTAACAGTTTGGGCAGTGCAGGGACTTGATGTAATCCAGATGTTTTGGGGGATAATAGAGCGAAACATTCAGTGTTTGGTAGGTCTTTCAGTCTGGAGAGCCTTGCAGTACCAGTGTGTGTGTGTGTGTGTGTGTGTGCGCGTGCGCGTGCTCACAGTTTCGGACTGAGCTCCCTGTCTCTGGTTTCACTACGTTGAAGGTATGTCCCGGACAGAACGATGTCGAGTTGTTACCGTCCAGCATTGCTCGGCTCGTCATGACAACAGACGACTAATCATGGGTTGCTCGGGGCAACGGGAGGGAAATCACCACCAGCTGCAGCCGAATGCTGCAAAAACGTCTCCTGTGTTTCTGCTAGGTTAGTTTCCTGAGCGGGTAACCAGCAGTGAGCCGGAGTCTGTTAAAATGTCAGGTCAGCAGAATTTACTCCCAAGCATTTGTTGTACTATCTGAAATAGGGCTGGGTTGCACAAATCAGTTTTTTCCGATTCAAATTGATTTTCATTTGAATGATCTGATATCAATTCATAAAATCCAAGTCGATCTTTTAATGCCTTTACCGTGATACGTAAAGCTTTAACCCCGTTAATCAGCCTTCGGTTCTTCACACAGCGAGATCTGGCCACCTGCCTAGTGACGAGTGAAGCTCGGGTCAGAAAGTGGTGTCCACCTGTATTTGTTCGAGGTCTTCGGCTGACATATAGCTGGTGGGTTGCTCCTTTACTGTGATAACTTGGCTTTTATTTGGTTGTGCAGTGAGTTGGGATCATCATCACATTCATCCATCAACACCTTAACACACCAAAATGAGCTCAAATGTGTCGGGAGGTGATTGAAAGAGGCTATGAAGGCGCCTGTGGAGTACTGCTGTCTATTTACAATGTAGCTGGGATCATCTGACCTGTGACTGTTCAGTAAGCGCTGCAGGGTCAATTCTTAACTTAAACATTAACATTTGTATATATATATATAAAATATTTCTATAGGAGTATAAATATTTTTTTTGGGGGGGGGGGTTATGCTTTTATTAGATAGGACATCTTGACAGGTAAGGGGGTAGAGAGTGAAGGGGGGCGCAAATTGGCATCGAACCCGGGCTGCTGCAGTAAGGAAGCTCTACCAGGTGAGCTACCATGCGCCCCAACATTAATGTTTTTAATAAGGTACCAGGTTAGAGGGTCCCTTTACAATTTACAGAGTTAAATGGGGCTGTGTCTGTCTGTTTGACCGAGGGAGGGTCTGAGCTCCAGAGAGAGAGAGGGGGCAGAGAGAGAGGAAGACACGCAACAAAGGGCCGCAGGTTGGATTCGAACCCTGATTTGAGTCAGGTTTGGTTCAGGTATGAGACTTGGCTGTAAACCATTGGGTTTAGTCAGGCAGAGTCTTAAGTTTTTCCCACAAACTTGTCTTGTTCTTATGTTCACTGTTTTTCCTGTGCATCAGTGGCTGTGGTTGGTACACAGCACACAGTGAAGGGGACAGTGAGCAGTTAGAGGGTCGGACGTGTTACATAACACCCTGCCTGCAGATAAATAATACACTGCAGGCCTTCCTCGCCGGCTCAAATGATCAATAGTTGAAGTCTCATGTTCAGGGCATGAAACCTTTTGGAGGCTTCACGCTGCTCTCCAGTACACAGTTTTGTTTAGTCATTTTTCACCTTGAGATAGTAGTCTGGTCTGTCACCTGGGTTAGATTGGTTTTAAAATGTATATCTGGTAAATTCAGGGAAAGACTTTGGTGTCAGCTTTATATGTTTGTATTTTTTGTGGCTTGTTCATAAAGTTCATTCAGTTTGTATTGTAAGAAGCGTAGTTGTAATAAGCTTTTTGGTCAGTGCTATTCCAGTAGTTGACCGTTGGGTTGAGCTGTGTCACTGTCAGTTTTAACTTCATACTAAATCATGATGTATAATAAATAGATGTCTCTCAATGGCTAAAGAAAGTAACGCCTAGGGCAGAGATGCCCAATGAGGGGTACGTCTATCCCAGGGGGTATTTCTGCAGGTGCCAGGGGGTACATAACAAGACTGTGAAGTAACTCAACTAATTTGAAAAGAGATTACAATTTAATAAAACAAAACAAGAGAGGGAGGGCATACACAAAGAGCAGAAGGAAAGGAAAGACAAAAAAACAAAAGAAAGGAAAGTGAGGGGAAAAAAACAGGAGGTACTACATGATGTCCCACATCTATCTATCTATTATTTTATTTATTTTATTATTCCCACTGTTTTTGAGGCAGAGGATAGCTTTCCTTTTAATATACACATTGTTTTGGATAGTTTTTTGTGATATACGTTTGAATTATTATATATTTTTTACACAAGATTGAATTCGTCCAAACACGTCGAGGCTTCACATACAGTCAGGAAATGCGTCATAAGTGCTTATAATGCAGCCTGCAGTCAGAGTTCAGGGCACAATGTGGAGATGTCACCCAGAGGCTCCAGAAACCAGCTTCATCAGACACCTTCACTGGAAGAGCAGAGTGGCAGACAGTGTGTCGCCCCCTGCTGTTCACAACCGTAAACAGTGACCAAACAGTGAAGCCACAGTGACCAAAAATGTTCTTCTTCAGGTCTTGTTTTCAGATGAATCATCTTCCAGTTTGTTGAGTTGTTCGCTTTGTGTTTTCCTGTCACAGGTCTGATGTCCTGGTTTTGTTCTGCAGATGAGCAGCCTGAATCCTGAGAACCCAGAAAACTGCTAAACATCTCACCAACACTCCTGAATACTGCAGACTGGGTAAATACTGCGAATCCCCCATTATCTTCTACTGTCTTTCATTTGAAGTATAGACACACGGACTGAGTGACACTGGGTGCAATTTCAAGGTAATCCAATAAATTCTGTTTATGTTATTCATTTGTAAAAACTGTCGGATGGTATCACAGTTTAGAGTCATTGATTGGATCATTTTTTGGATCTGATTGGTTACACGTCGCGGTTAATAGCCTATCAGCACTGAAGGCCTCAGACAGGCGGAGACCGGAGCTGCTCCGGGGAGCCGAGCTGTGTGTTGAGGGGAAGGCAGCAGATCATTTCTGAAGTCGGATCGAGAATTTAGAGTATGATTACGTTAATAGCGGCAGTGAAAGTGTATGGTTAAATTTGGTCTGCGTTTAACTTCAATAATCTTTAATAAAGTTATGTATTTTAGAGAGCAGCCTTCTGAGTACCATTGCATAGTCAGATAAATGTAAAATTGGCCGCTGTATTGGTAATCCATTAAATCCCCCCCCCTAAAACTGGTATCAATATTAGCCTCAAAAGTCCATATTGGGGTCGGAAGGTGTATTTTTAAAATCCTTAATGGAGCTAGTCTCTCATTATATCATGATATTAAATATCAAGGGGAATGTTTGTGAGCATTTGGTTATGTTTCACAGTCAACATGCATACAGCGATGGTTTACTGTGTCAGCCTTGGCAGCACTTTTTCACACACTGCTGATGTTGTTGTAATTCCTGCTTATCACCAGTAGATGTCAGTAACTGGCATATGTGGTCTGATTCCAGCCAAGCAGGAGAGTGTGTGGATCTATGGACAGATTGTGGCTGTTTTTTTGTGGCTAGTAGTCATTTTGTTCTTCCTCTTCAGGAGATAATGTGTTCACTGTTCTCCTCCTCCTGCAGTTTAAGCCCTGGACAGGTTTGTGCTGTAGCTGTGTGGCCGGGCAGCCTGGCTGCCCCCCTGCCTCCAGATGAATGAAGAGCACTCCGGGACCCAGAGACACAGCTGATGCAGGTCAGAGGTCGTCCTCACTGCCATGACACAAAGCTATTAACATTTACCTAGCAGACACTCCATAATGGTTGCACTTGTTCCAATTGATTCCCATTGGATTGGAATCTTTTATCGCCTTTCTTACAGTATCGCAATATACTGAATCATAACCCCTGTATTTGTATTGTCAGATTCTTGCCAATACACCGCCCTAGTGTCTGGGAGATTTTCACTTTAATTCAATTGCTTCTGAACATATTCAGCACTCCTATAAAGTATGCAGTATCTGTAGTAAATAGGAACATGCAACATACAAAACCTCCACCATTTTAGGAAGTTGTACAGTGTTTGATGAATGTGCTGTGATTTTCTCCTCACGGCATGCAGGTGTTTCTGCAAATATGATGAAGAAAAAGAATCCCCATAAGTGAGTTAACATGCTTTGCAGCTCATTTTTGTTTGTGTTATGACCAAAATAATTGGACTGAAATGTCCTGTAGAAAGGAACATTAATTCATAATGTGAGATAATGTTTCTGTTCCCACATTAGGGGATTCAATAAATGCATCTCAAAGTACAAACAGTAAACACAGTCTCAAAGCAAATAATGTTGACTGTGTTGTTTTAATGTTGCCTGGAAGGAAACATAAGAGCAGTCTGGGTCCAACCACCAAAGTTCTGTCTCAGCCACGACGCAACATCGTTGGCTGCAGGATCCAACACGTCTGGAAGGACGGCGGAGGACACGTGATCTGGAAAGGAACAGTGCTCGACCAGGTAAGCAGAGGGTTGAATAATTACTGACAGCAGTAGTTTTACCATCACATGTTTCATTTAATGATATGTGTAGACCTACTTTTAATACTATAGAGAGTCTATAATGAACATTTAGTGCTCATTCTATCTGCATACTGCTGCCTGCTTCCAGCAAACTCAAATATGTATTATTGTTGACGCAAATATCTTGATGTGTGATTAACAATTAAGAATGTGTGGAAAGAAGCACCAAAAGCGTGGGAAAACAATGTTTCAGATGTATGTGTGTGTGTGTGTGTGTGTGTTCATCCACCAGGTGCCAGTAAACCCGTCTCTCTATCTGATAAAGTATGATGGTTTCGACTGCGTTTATGGTCTGGAGCTTCATAAAGATGAGAGGGTCCAGGGGCTAGAAGTGCTCCCTGACAGATTGGGTAAGACCGAACTGAGAACAGGGTCACAGCCACTGAACACAGTGGCGATAGAACGCTGCACAGACAGATAGTTAATTTGAAAATGTAATTTGAAAAATGTATATGTATATGTCGTATAATTAACACATATACATTTTTAGCATTTAGCGTAATAATGTTTAGTGTAGTAGTGTGTTAATGTTTATTATATAACTGTATAATTTCTATAACATTTAGCATGTTAGTGTAAAATGCTAATGTTTAATTTAATATAATAGCGTGTTAATTTCAGCAGAACATCACATGCTAACATTATAACATGCCATTATGTAGCATGCCATTGCAACACGCTAATGTTTTCTACATTTCCGTATCAGCATTGGCATAACAAGATAAGTAGCATAACATGGTAATGTTTGGTATAGTAGCATGTCAATAAAGCTTATTATATAGTGTGTTACAGTAACATGGTAATGTTTATTGTATTACCATGTTAAATAACGATAGCATCTTAACATTTAGCATGCTTGTGTAACTAATGTTTAGTTTAGTATAGTAGAGTGTTAATTTTGACAGAACATAACACTTTAAGTGTGGTTGTGGACTTTTTAAAAGATTTCTTTTTTGCATTTTTGCCTTTAAAGAGGCACATAGGAAAAAGTGGTAGAGAGAAGGATATGACATACATCAAAGGTCCGCAAGCTTTAGAGTTTTAGTGTTGTTCCTAAAATCTACATGCAACTGCCTGGAAAGTGCATTTTGTCTTGATTAGAATTTTTATCCCTGCAGCTAAATCCCGCCTAACAGATGTCAACCTAGCGGACACCATGATAGGTAAAGCAGTGGAGCACATGTTTGAGACGGAGGAGGGTCCGAAGGAGGAGTGGAGGGGGATGGTGCTGGCCCGGGCTCCCATCATGACCACCTGGTTCTACATAACCTACGAGAAAGACCCTGTCCTCTACATGTACCAGCTGCTGGACGACTACAAAGAGGGAGACCTCCGCATCATGCCCGACTCCAGTGAGTGACGTAATCTTATTCAGTGTTTATTTAAACTGGTGAAGATTATAAAGAGGAACCTACCTGAACCACTTGCTACCTTTAACTGTGTGTGTCTTGAGCATTTGGATTATATCTGAATATGTATTAGGACTGTTATTGGAATAGAATAGCAGAAATGGGATCATATGTATTGAAAATTCTGATGTTCCAAGCTTTCCGAGCTAATTGTAATTAAAAGGTAATACAATGAGTTTAAGTTTGCTGTATTGCTGATGTAAAGCCTAACAGTGGGACACATTTCAGTGTAATAATTTTATGTGATTGTGCATACATATATTTGCCATACCATTATACACCATATATTGAACAATTTTATTATTAGTGATTAGGAATAAGCAGTGAGGGCAAGGGAGTACCGCCAGGATCACAGCTGTACTATATATCCTGACAACACATAGTTTACACGTTTTATTTCATTAATTTCATTATTATTCATTTCATTTTGTTTATTCATATTTATGATTGTTTAAAAGATTTTATTAATTTAAATAATATTGTATCTAACTTGTAGTTGATTATTTTTATATATTTTCATGTTTATACTTATAATCTATTATAATCTAATTCACTAATAATTAAAATTGTATCTTTTGTTAACTTATTATTTTGTTATATTTAGTTAAATCTTTACATTTTTGTTTAATTTAAAAATTTACTTTTTTCAGTTTTACAGTACTTATGCGTTCGGCATTTACTAAAGCATTGTATATGATAGTGATCATGTCTCTTTGATGGCCAGTATTATACAGAATTCTTCCTTAAAATCTTTCAAAAACAACAAAAGCGGGTAAGATGGAGGACATGTTAATACCATGTAGTGCTAACATCTCTCTCTCTGTAGACGACAGCGTCCCGGCGGAGAGGGAACCTGGCGAGGTGGTAGACAGCCTGGTGGGTAAACAGGTCGAGTACGCCAAAGAGGACGGCGGCAAACGAACAGGCATGGTCATCCACCAGGTGGAGGCCAAGCCCTCCGTCTACTTCATCAAGTTTGACGACGACTTTCTTATTTATGTCTACGACCTGGTCAAAACTTCATAAGACTTTGTGGACGTCCTGAGTCCCTCCCACGCGACAGAAACAAAATGCAGCACATGTTGAAACATCTGAAGCATTTGATTGAGCGCTTGTTTTCTCAGACCATCAAAGACAAAAGTAAAGACTCAAAAGAAGAATTCTCACAACGGAAAGAGAGGATAGATACTTCTGGAGAACCGCCTTGTTTTTGTGTTCGGTAGCGTTTAAGATGGGGAAAAAGACAGCTTGGGGACATTGAAGACCCTTATCGAAGACCTTCATAAACCCTTAAATTAAAAAAGAAATGTTTTTACATTACCCGTATGAGGTCCAAAATATAGTGAATACCCCAAAATATTTTTCTGAACCAGGTCAAAGCCGTCCAAAAATTCTGCTTCACTCTAGAAAGAGACTAAACCTTGAGATCCATTTTCAGTGTTAGATTTCATCCAGTGGGCTGCCTGGGGAGGGACATTTTGGTCATAGTGATGTGGCAGTTAATTTGAGGCACAGCTAATTTGATCCTAATGAAACTGTGGAAACATGACATAACTGTCTTCAAAGATTTCTTGTCATGTTTCCTACATCAGCTAACACATCTGGCCACAGAGAAGATCAGCCTCCCAACAAAGATGTGAAATCTGGAGCTAGTTGGTGAATGGGGCTTCAAAAAGGCTACAAGAAGGAGAATTCTCAGACCAGATGAACAAACAATTGCGGTCACTATGGAGAAGGAGCTTGTCTTTGTTTTCGGCTACACTCTTCCACCAAGTTTAATGAAAATTAGGACGGTAGTTTTAATAGACAAATAACTGGCACCAAAAACATAACCTCCTTGGCAGAGGTTAAGTTTTTACTTACAAAAATCTTAATTTACTAAAATATTTTGACCATGCCAAATTGTAGGAATTTGATTTAGTTAATCCCATAATTTTGGATTAGTTTGTAATTTTTATGTCATAATATTTATTTATTATTTTTGGCTGAAATGGTCTTCCATATATCTGAGATCCATAAGACAGGAAACAAACAAAACTGGTTACAGTCTAATTCAAAGTTGGACTTTGAAGGGGGTTTTAAGGGGTAAAAACAAAACAAAAATCTTCAACCAAGTTTGGTCTGGTTTGGTCACAGAAAAGGGGACACTTATTATATCCCTTTTGTTTCAAATGAAAGTTAACTGAAGTGGGATTTCTGTTCCGGTTGTTGTACAGGACAAAACATTACAGGTTTCTTCATCATATAGTGTGCTACTTACACAAGCTTCACTTTATAGACTTCAACTGAATATTCATGGAGAGGGTCAACCAATCCTCATCTAAAGACGTCTGCAGTTAAAAACTGATTTAAAAAAAAAAAGACGGGGGCAGTTTTTTGCTTTTATCATTGCCAAAAGCCCTTCCTGTTGTGAAGTTGTTTGATGTTACAGATGATCGGACAGCTTTTTCTTGTGATTTCAAAAAGGCCTTTGGATTTGCTCTAGTGTTGTCTTTTCTAAGTCACCAGTGAAGGAGTGACAGAGAAGTAAAACTGAAACTTGGCCAAAGCCCTTCCTGTCCTTGGCTGTTTGTTTTACTGTTAAATACCTTGTTACAGAAGGAAAAAAAAACCCTGTGATTTCTTGGGTTCTCCTTCCTCCGTTTGGACTTCGAACACAGTGATGGATTCTAAATGTCACACACCGTTGATTTAAGGACTGGAAAACTTGGTTTAATGCACCTTAAATCCCAGGGGAGGAGATAAGAAGAATATTCCCCCTGTGTTGGACTTAAATTGTCACCAGAATCCACAAGAATCTACTAGAGTGATGCAGTGAAGTTCTCATCCGTTATTAAGATGATGAGCATAGCATTGTTAAGGGTTCCCTTGGTCGAAGATTATTACTGAAACAAAAGCATCCCAGTTTGTATTTACACACAAAGAAAAAGATTACAGACTCCTTGTGGTGTAGATCTGATGCTCTCCTGGGCGACTGAAGAAGAGTTTTTGTCCGGAGCCTGTGAGATGATTTGGTCTGTTCCACAGCGTGTATGCAGTAAGAGAGGACACAGTCAGTTGTGTTAAGTATATGAAGAGATTAACAACCAGTGAAGGTTTAAATTTCCTTTTTCACAAATGTACATTTGATTTTGTTTGGATTTATTCGAGACTGAAGGTTTTCCATAAACACGGTTCTGTACTTGAGCAGTAGTATTTCAGCAAAATTTGAATATACTGTAGGGTCAGAATCAATCTGTTTTTACTGGCCAGTGACTGATATCCCAGTTAAATTGGTAAGAGTCCTTGAAGAGCATTTATTAAAGCAAAAGAACATGTTTTGAGAGCTTGTCGGTTCCTCAATGTATAATTTTGGACCAGTTTATTACAACAGAACTACTAAATATATCTGAATTATTAATGCATTCTGATGACAAAGTATGTTTGCGTACGTAACTTTTAAAAACCATCCCTATATTTTCAACAAAAATGTTGATTTTCCATTTATAAATTAGACTTAGGTTGTGTATGTCAAGTATAGGTTTTTTGGGTTGGACCTTTTAGCACTTAATGCAACCGCTACCAGTAAACGTATAACACATTTTTTTTCTCCAAAAACCAGTGAACATAGGAATGAAAACAGAAAAGAAACCTGTAAAGGTTGATGCATTACACCTTTGACTAATCACATGGCTTGCTTGAATCAATGTACAGAATGGAGTAATGTACGCAAAACCTTCAGTCTGTGTACTTCCTGTGATGTAGTTAGTTGCCGAGGCAGATTACAGCTCTTATCATAACC